CTGAACAACCGGGGCTTTAAAAATGGCGGCACCCATTTGAAGATGCAAATGAAGCCCGGGGTATTTAAATCCCAGGCTTCATTTGCAACTTTGGTTGCCTACATTAACCACCCTAGTTCGAACTAGGGTGGTAGTGTAGACATACCCTGGGAGAGCTGGGAATTGTTAAGAAAATGGTGGGTAAATGTTGATAACATTTTCACAAAGTGTTTCCCCTTTGGCTGAGCTACCATGTGCGGTGAGGCTGCCAATTGCTTCCTTTTACTAGCAGTGAATTAGAAAGAAAGAAAGAAAGAAAGCGAACTGAGTTGAATGACCCTTGTAAGATGTGTACATCCATTACTAGTGTTCTCAAAACCAGTCGAGGTTCTTGTGCATGTAAACTTGATAGTGGCTTAAGCCACAAGTTCTATATTCAGTGATTAGTCAAATATGTTGAGGGTTCTTGAACAAAAGCCCGAACCTGCCTTTCGCCTCGGTGCTTTCTCAGACAGAACTCCAGTCGGCAGAGCAGGTCATGTAGCCTAGCCCTTGAAAGCAACCCTACAATAACCAAACAAACTCATGCGATGAGCAACCCTACAATAATAAACCCTTCTTCCCCGGCCAACTAGCTTGCACAGCCCGGCACTACTGAGGGATCAGAGTAACAAGTCAGGAGTGCGGTGCTGCCGCAACAAGGCAGGGTGCTCTGGCCAGTGCTTTGGAGCAGCCCTACAATAACAAGGCAGTTCGGGGGAGGGGAGGGCCCATGCTGGCAAAGGAACCCGATTGCTGTCTCAAGTTTCCAAGACGAATTATACACATCAGTGAAAAGGAAACGTTTTGTAAATAATGACCAATCCCCTGGCAAGGGTCCTGGAGGCGCAGCTCATCGCGGGAGAAGGCTGGGGCAAAGCACGGCAGCTTAGCCCGGGCTCTTCCCTTTCTCTGGTCTTTGTAGGGAGCAGCTTCTTTCGAAACAACAGTTGCTCCCCTTGATGCCTTCTCCTGGCCTTTGTTTGCAGCCCCTTGTGCATTACATCACCAGCGATGACCAAGCAGAGAGGCAGGAAACACGATCCAAGCTAGTGACGTGATCTCTCCAGGGAAGCCAGCCGAGAAACAAGAAGGCATTGTTCTCTGGGAAAACCCGCGCCGGACCTGCTCCAGTTCCCATTGAAACGGGTGGAACGGTTCCCACCGACTCCTGCGGGAACTGGAGCAGGGCTGACGTCTGGAATCCGGCACACCCCCTGCAGCACAGAAGGGTCCTGCCCTGACGCAGGCAGAGGGTCAGCCTCGCGCAGCTCCCTCGGACAAACGACCCCACTGTCGGGTGCTTCCCGGGGCTGCCCTGCTGTGGGAGTGGGCTGCAGTCGTCCCGGGAGGCCAGTGCCCCGAGGAAGGCCTGGCTGCACTCGGCAAGGCACTCGCCACTTTTCAAGTTACACCCTGACCAGCTGCCCCCGAGACACGGGAATGCAGGAGCCCAGGGAGATGGGGGCCGGTGACCAGCTGCCCCCGAGACACGGGAATGCAGGAGCCCAGGGAGATGGGGGCCGGTGACCAGCTGCCCCCGAGACACGGGAATGCAGGAGCCCAGGGAGATGGGGGCCGGTGACCAGCTGCCCCCGAGACACGGGAATGCAGGAGCCCAGGGAGATGGGGGCCGGTGACCAGCTGCCCCCGAGACACGGGAATGCAGGAGCCCAGGGAGATGGGGGCCGGTGACCAGCTGCCCCCGAGACACGGGAATGCAGGAGCCCAGGGAGATGGGGGCCGGTGACCAGCTGCCCCCGAGACACGGGAATGCAGGAGCCCAGGGAGATGGGGGCCGGTGACCAACTGCACGTCTGGGGGGGCCCTGCCCCTTGGAGAAGGGAAATGGCCTAGGGCAGGGGTTCCCAGTCATTTCGGGCATGCAGAGCCCTTTTCAATCTGGTAACATTTCCAGACCCCCCGGGGGCACCATGTCCCTTGGCTGCGCTGCTTCCTCAGCCATCCCCTGCCCATCCACAGAGGGGCTATGGGGCCAAGGGCAGGTCCTGCCCCAGCTCTCCACCCTTGGCCAGGCACAGAGCCCTGGGGAGACCAAACAAGGAAAGGCAAAGGAAGGGTCAGGCCCACCACGGGATTGGAGCGCAAACGGCAGCGCAGCTGGTGGTGGGAGGACCAATGGTGCCTCCCGGGGTATCGAGATCCCATCCCAAGGGCAGGAGGCAGCGAGCAGCTGATCACGAAGGGCGAGAATTGCCTGGTGGAAAGTCCCAGTCCCACGGTGGGCCCGATCCTGACTTTTCTTTCCCTCTCCTTTCCTAAACTGTCCACAGATCCCTAGAGTGCCGTCATGGGCCCGCGGGGTCTGCGGACCACAGGTGGGAGCCACTGAGCTATATGCTTCACGACACTCCCACGGGGGGGGGCTAGGGTTGCCAGATGGTTTCAGCAAAAATCCCGGACACACTGGACATGACGTCCCAATCTACATCCCATCTGAGTTAGAAAATCCCGGACAGTTCTGTTTTTTCCGTTTGTTTCCCGAACAAAAAGCTCAAACACTGGACTGTCTGGCCCAAAACCGGACCCCTGGCAGCCCTACGGGGGACATCTGGGAGTAGCCAAACCGTCCAACACCTTTAGAGCAGGGGTTGGTGGCCACTCCCAGGATTAGATGTGTCCCAATAGTGTGACACTCGCTTCACTTGTGCTCGGTTAGCCCTAACCCATCCCAATGGAATGCACCCTAAAGTCTCATGGCTGGCTTTGTGGATTGCTGTCATAGGCCCTCGACCACAAACCCCAGGCGGGATCCGGGTTTTCTGGTGATCACAGATCCCTTTTCCAAATGGGGGAGGCTTTTCCGCTGAAAAGCAACACCGCAAAGGCCGCGGCCAAAGGGCTGGTGGAGCAAAGCTCCTCCCGCGGAGGCAGAATCAGACCAGGGATCGCACGTCACAGGGCACTTTTCCGAAGACTGAGTCCAGCAGCGGCCCCACATCCCCTCCCGACCACTGTCGTCTGGGATGGTCGAACTATAAAAATGCTGGTGAGGAAACTGGTTGATGCCAATGGGAACAATTAGGATTCCCCGATGCCCATAGCCCTCCTGGCCCGCAGAGCAGCCCCCGCCGTGTCTACTGAGTGCGAGGCCGCCTGAACAGCTCACCTGGCACACTAGTGGCGCTCAGCTGGAGGGAGTTGGACGCCCTGCACAATCTGCGAGAACACTCCAATCAGACTCACTCGCCGGTAGCTGCCAAACTGGAAACACCCGAGGCAGGCCAAGGTCCACTCTGATAAGAGCCAGAGAGAGAACGCTTGGGAGGCTGGAGTCTGGTGATGTTACTGTCTCAGAAAGCCCCCAAACACGGGCTGTGTAAGCGGTGGATCGGGCCTTTCCGAATCCGCGGCAACCCCAGCGCGGCAGCGTGCAGGATGACAGTAGCGGGGAACAGGCGCAGAGGAGAGGAAAAGCTCCATCCATCACCTAGGTCGGTGGTTTTCAACCCCTTTTGTATAAAGTACCCCTTTTTCAAAAAACCCCATAAGTCCCCCCAGTACCTGCAGTTGTCAGACACACACATTTTTTTCTACTCTTGCAACACATTTGTTTAAGCAACTTAATTGTAGCCGGGTGGGCGATGAGATTTTTGGGTGTAAGAAATACACAAATAATTAAGCGCTGTAAAACTTAAAACAAAAATTCTGTTTTCTCCCAATTTCAGTTGCGTTGATCCCCCCTCCCCCGACGTCTCTCCAGTGCCCCTTAGGGTGCTCGTGCCACTGGCCGAGAAACACTGCCCAGTCCCCAGGCGCCCTGGTGGCGTTGGAGCCAGCTGACCGCAGGTTGCTGACTCCAGTCATGAAACGGACGATTATTCTTAACCCCAGGCGATAAGTGCTCCTTCGGCGTCTCGACCGCCCAGTGGCCCGCTGCTCGTGGCCCAGGGTTCCAGCTCCTGAGGTTACAAAGGAGGAAGGGGCTGCACTGGCTCTGATTCCTGCCATTGACCTTTTGGGAGCCCCGGCTTAGTCCTTGTCCCACGGGTGCTCAACCCGTGCTCTGCCCCAAGTCCCCTGCCCCACCTGTCCCCAGTCCGCCCCCTGCCAGGCTGCGGGTAGGTGCCAAGCACCCATTGAGTCTTTTCCGGGGGTGCTACAGCGCTGCAGTACCATGGAGTTCATGCCTATGCCCCTCCCCTTTCCTGTTTAGCTTTGGCAACATCTGAATCCTGCCGCCCTTGGGGTGCAAAGGAAAGTCCCTCGTGGCCCTTCCCCTCTTCTCACAGCATGGTGAGCTCCCTGCTTGCCATCTCCCGGGCTCTTCTCCTCGGACACCGCAGCCAGGTCCGGTGCCAAGCTCCAGCAGCACATTCCCCAGCGGGCCTCTCTGCCCGGCAGCTCCGTCCGGAGCCATGGCGGCACCCAGGCCTAGAACGCAGCCTCGGTTCCGCTCCAGAGTCCTGCGAAAGCACCCCAAGTGGTGCGATCTACCCAACGAGCGAAGGGCTCAAAGCTTCCTTCGCTGGCTCCGGTCCACCGCTACCACGGCTGTTCATCCAGCACCTTTCCTGGCCAATCAGCTCACTTACAAACGAATCACGAAACAGCAGGAACTGACGCCTGGGGCTGCCTCCCCAGCCAGGCCAGCACAAAGGCAGCTGCTATCTCTGCTGGTTTGCAAGCGAAAAGTAGCCACAATCCAAGGCAAGTTAGAAGGGTAACCCAGCCAATGGGATGTACCTTGTAATCAGTCCCCGGAGGCCAGAGGGAGCAGCCAGCCTTTGAAAATGTAAGGGGAGAGGGAGCAGGCAGGGTTTCCATCTTTAGCTGAAATTCAAAAACTGGGCCGTCACCAAGGAAATCAGGAGCAGCTGCCTCCAGGCCTGAGAATGCTGCTGGGTCAGCCTCACCTGAAAGTGGCCGGTGGGGTTTCCGGTTTTTCTCAGGTCAGCCTCACCTGAAAGTGGCCGGTGGGGTTTCCGGTTTTTCTCAGGCTGCATCTCTATCTTTTGCAGGCCTTCCTGACTTAGTGCCCGACCCCAACTATGTCCAGGCCTCCACCTACGTCCAAAGAGCTCACCTCTACTCTCTCCGCTGTGCTGCTGAGGAGAAGTGCCTCGCCAGGTAAGGGGGGACTCCGTGTTGCCAGCTCCTGTGATTACATCATGCCTTTCGTGCTATGTGGGGTCCCCTGGAGTCAGGTGCTAGGGGAGAATCAGAACTTCCCTTTATAAGAGAGGGTTCTAGTCCTCATGGTTGCAGAGAAAAGCTTGAAACCGTGAAACATGAAGGCTCAGAAAATGAAGACAAAGAACAAGAATCCATTTTTTTTTCAGTCTCATGAATGTTAAGACAATCTCATGATGTTTGAGTGTCTGGAGATCATGATACTGATGTTCCTGCCTTGAGGTTAAAGATGGGCCAGTCAAAAATCTGGTTGAATCTGGAAAGTTCTTGGGCCCATAGATCAGGTGGGTAATTAAGAATTGCATGGTTCTGGCTAAATTGTTTGGAGATACTGCAATGACATTTCCGCTTCTGGTGCCAGCTATGAACTCAGAAGTGTGCAAACGTGCGGCTGGCAAAGGCAAGGACCACTAGGAGAGAATGAGTCTGAGGCTGGTTGTTTTATTGTTGGACAGGCCCTCTCCTGCATACGCCCAGAGTCCCAAGATGGGTCAAAATTACAATGAAAACTTCTGCTAGTAGCAAAAATTGAGGTATAACAAAAATATTTTACAGAAAAATTGTGTTGTCACCCATTTTTTTCAAAGGCATTGTGAAGGAAAAGCTCCAAAACAATGCTTCAGAATGCTCAGTGACAATCCATTTTTGCTTTGTCTGCTGACTTCTGTTCACCCAATTGTCATTTGTGCTTCTGAAAATCTCCCCCCGTTCATGGTGGGTACAGTGGAACCCTAGAATCCTAGGGCTGGAAGGGACCTCAGGAGTCACTGAGTCCAATCCCCTGCCCAAGGCAGGACCAACCCCACCTCAACCACCCCAGCCAGGGCTCTGTCAAGACGGGACTTAACACCCCAAGGGGTGGAGATTCCCCCCTCCCTAGGGAACCCAGCCCAGGGCTTCCCCACCCGCCTAGGGAAATTATTTGTCCTAATATCCAACCTAGACCCTCCC